CCTCATCTCCTCTCCCACAATTTTGGGGATGTCTTGTTGAGTTGCAATTGGGCGATTTGCAACATCATAGGCTGGAGCCTAATGCAGATGAGCTCTGGCTCAAGATGGCTTCTCACCCAGATGCCTACAGTAGCTGTTCCCTGGGGGTACTGCTCTGTCCTCTTCCCCTCCCTGTCCTTCCCTTCCCCTCCCCATTGGTAAGAGCTGGACTTCCTCATGGCAGGAAGTCTCAGGCTGATGGTTAGCTGCTTTCACCCAGAGCCTCTGTCAGGGTCCTGGGGACCAGGGGGAGGGCAGATGGAGTCCATCCTGCAGAGGGTCACGCACAGTCCTTTTGATCCTGACCTGGAAGGGCAAACTTGCCCCTGACCTTTAGTTGATTGATCTAAGGCTAAGAACCAATGAAAACTCTTCCCAGTGAGTCTTTTTTTTTGTCTTTTCTTTTTTGGTACTGGGGATCGAACCTAGGATGTTGCATTTTCTAGGCAAGGGCTTTGCCACTGAGCTACATCCCAGCCCTTCCCAGTGAGTCTTAAATTCGAAACTTTGACTCCAAAGTGGAGCTCAAAGATCAGACGTGTGTGTGTGTGTGTGTGTGTGTGTGCATGCCCATGCCCACTGAACTCAGGGCCTGAACTCAGGGCTTGAACTCAGGGCCTGTGTGCTATCCCTTAGCTTTTTCACCCAAGGCTGGTTCTCTACCACTCTACCACTTGATCCATATCTCCACTTCTGTCAATTTGCTGGTTCAAAAGTCTCATAGACTTTGCTGCACAGGCTGGCTTTGATCGCTGATCCTCAGATCTCAGCCTCCTGAGTAGCTAGGAGAATCAGACTGGTTTCTGTAGTCTCTTCTTGGCTAAATCACAATTCATGTAGCCATGGGAACACAGTTGAATTCTTCTGTCCTTAGTTTCCTCATTATCAAAATGAAAAGGGGACATCCTTTGTAGGACTGTGCCCCTTGAGACAGGGAGTTATACATGTCAGGAAGATAATGATGCACAGTAAAACCATGGACACTTGGCTACTTGTGCTGGGAATGTCGGCTCCAGGGATAGTCAGAGGTTGTATGTAGACCCTGTTCTGCCTTTTAATCTACCTCTCTGTGCCAGCAGCCCAGTTTGCTTTTGGTTTCAAAGAGTGAAAATGTATTTCTGCAGTGTTGCCGAAACACCTGATCCAAGTGTTCTGTCTCACACAGGCTCCTCCCCTGCGTCTTTGTTACCGGTGTTACCACTCTTTATGGTGGCAGTGAGGGGCTTATCATCTGTTTCTCTAGAAGAGGTACACTCCTTAAATAGAGCCCTAATGTCTAAAAAAAAATTAGCCAACCTATCTCCTGGGAGGCAGCCTTTGACTGTTCAAACCTGGGAGAAATGAAGGGTTTTATTTGTGGAAATTGGGACATCCGGTACCGTGTACTTAAGGACACAGACTTTTTTTTTTAAAACCACCCATCTATACCTCTACACAGCAAAAAAGTTGTTTAATAAAGTCTCAGAGGATACATTAGTCTTGCATATTAGAGATAAGCCAAGTTCAGAGGCAGACATTTGCATGAACGTGGTTCATTTTGTGCTATAGACATTATCCCCATCAAGAAGAAGGCTCCCATGGGAGCCTCTCTCCTATATTCAAAACTCTGATTTTGCACAATCCCAGCCCACCTCAAAGCTGAGTGCACAGGCCAAAGAGGTTAAGAACCTGCATGAAGACACATAGTTCCAGTCTTGGCAATGTAGAACCAGGACTTCCTCTTCTGTCTACTGTGCATGACCTCTGTCCTTTGGCTCTCCTGGGATTCTGTGTCTCAGTATCTCTGTCACCCAGCCTGGGGTCGAGTCACAGAAACTTGGAGAAGATGCTAAGTTGGAAGGAAAGTTTAGCAGAAAGTAAGTCAGCAGAGAGGCTGCCACCTGCAGACCCTGGCTCTAGAAACTCAGGATGCTGTGTATCGCCATAGTTACTCCTTGGAAGAGCAAGCATGTAATTTATTCATTCACGTGGGCAACTGGCATTTATTAGACACCAACTATGTGTCTGGCATGGCATAGGGTCTGGTGATGCAGAATGAACTAACAGCCTTGCTTTCAGGGCGTTGTTCAGGAATTAGGTGGAAAGCGGGTGCAGTGCTCTGTATTTTACATGTTCCCCAGGTTCCACACAGTAAAGGCCGGGGACCAGTGGGACACTCTTGGGAGGTTGTGAGCTTTTAGGAGGTGTGGCCTAGTGAGAGATATTTAGGTCTTTGCTTTTGAAGGGATTGTGGGGCTCAGGCTCCTTCCTGTCTCCTCCCTCTGTCTTTCTGGCAGGAGAGGAATGGTTTTTCTTACCAGCACTTCTGCCATGATCTGCTGCCTCAGCCAAAGCAACTGGGCCAACCAATCATGGACTGAAACTTCCCGAACTATCCCCAAAGCAACCTTTGCTCATTAAAGTTGATTTGCTCAGGCTGGCACCCTCCTGCCATCCCAGCTACTCAGGAGGCTAAGACCTGCAGGATTGTGCTTCATGGTCAAGAAAGTAATGAGACTCCAGTTCCAGAGTAAACCTGGCTGGAGACGTGGCTCAAGTAATAGAGCACCAGCTGAGCCAGAAAGCTGAAAGCAAGCTTGAGACTCTGAGGTAAGTCTCAGTTACCCTCACCCCACAAAAAAGTGAATTTGTGCAGGCACCTGTTATAACACCAGAAAACTAATACCGTGGGTGTGGCAGACATACAGAGGGCCAGAAGTGGAAAGAGAGGGAGAGGTGCCCTGAGTCCTTAGCCAATCACCTGGCACTGTCTGACAACCAGAAAGCCCATCTTGGTCACCACTGTCTCACACCTGTCTCCCAGCATGTCGCCTCACACTTCTGGGGCCTTTTCCATACCACAGGAAAGGGACAATCTAAATGACTTTATGCCCAGTGACATCACAATGAAGACTCCTGCCCAGGAGATATCCTGGACCTGTCAGATTTACCATCAGTCAGTCTAGCTAGGATCCTTACAGCTCTTCACTGGACCTCACATGAAATTTTTACAGATTTTTAAAATTTGAGTAGTTTTCCTTCCTTCCTTCCTTTCTCCCTTCCTTCTTCCTTCCTTTTTTTTTAGATAGCCCAACTGGGCCTCAAATTAATGATCCTCCTGCCTCAGACTTTTGAGTGTTGGGATTACAGATATGTACCACCATGCTATTCTTCTGAAGGTTTTTATATACCAAGGACTATTATTTTAATGAACACAGAAAAATATCATATAAACATGCCTAAAATACATATGACTGATGCCACATTGTTAAGCCGCAGCCTGACATAGCCCATGTCCTTATCACCTTGAAAGGGCTATGGATGGGCAGTGTGGACTACAGGACAAGTAACTGGCTCAGCTTGGGATGCTGAGCAGGACACTTGGAAGATTCAAATCCCTCCTTGGCCTCAGACCACCATGGAGTCTGATGAACACAGCTGAGGGCGAGCTGTCCAACTCCTGAGGGGCTGGTGCCCATGGAAGGAGCAGTTGTGGTTTGGACATGAAGCGTCACTCCCAAAGGACCATGTGTTGAAGGCAGGTTGCCAGAAGATGAGCTTTTAGGAAGTGATTAGATCCTGAGGACTCTGACCTAATCCATGGTTTCATCCCCTGATCATAAAATAGTCACATTAGTGATGTCAGAAGGCTAGAAGGTGGGGCCTGGCCAAAGGAAGTGGGTCACTGGAGGTTGTGGAAAGATAATCCTTGTCCAAGGTCACTTCCCGTCTCTCTGCTTCCTGGCTGCAACGAGGAGAGCAGCTTTGCTCTGATGCCCCTCCATGGTGACCCTTCTGCCCTGTCACAGCCCTAAAAGACATTGAGCCTGCCAAGCGCACTCTGAAATCATGAGCCAGAATAAATCTTTTCTCCCTTAAGCTGTTGTCAGGTATTTTGTCACAGCAATGAAAAGCTGACTGATGTGGACAGTGGATACATCCCGAGAAAGTGGGGTCTGTGGGCTGGTACCCCATCACATTCCTCCTGAGAGGGCTTTCAAGGGAACACTGGGGTTCCTTTACTGTTTCTGTTCTTTCCGGGACACATGTCCTAGCCCTAGAAGTCTATGTGTGGACATACAATCTCTGCCTGGCTTCCTGCCTTGCTTTACCAGTCCTCTGGAGCAGGAGCAGGAAGCTCACTGGACCAAGTGATCTAGGATCAGGTGTATGTGTTGGTAGGGTGGAGGCAGAGGGGGATGATGATGTAGAAAATGACCTCAGAGGTTCAGTCCAAAGTCTCTCCAATTCCCTGACTCCAGGTCCTTTCCCTCCGATGAAATTATTGTAAACTTTGAGAAAGATACTAGAAAGGTTGGGAAAATTCTATATAATCAGTTTCAGGAAACTCTCAGGAAGTCAAGCAGTTGGGCAGAGTACTTTTTCTTCCTTCAAAGAGCAGTGTTAAAAAAAAAAAGAACTGTTGGTACACTGCCCCAGGTGGCCGGACACAGCCCAGCAAGGCAACTCCAGGCCCTGGCAGTGCCTTCCTGACAGCCCACGCTCTACTCATGGTAAATATGTCACCTCCCCAGAAGTTTACTTGGGCCTGGGACAGGCGGGTCAGCAGTTGGTGATTTGGGCCCCCAGCTTTGTAAGTTCAAGCCTACAATGAGTTATTCATTTATCCACTCCTTCAATACTGAGACCTTTCTGTAAGCCAGGCACTGTGCTAAGTGCTCAGAGAAAGAGACAGTAAGACCCAGCCTTGTGCTCAAAGACTTCAGTTCTTGGGGAAAAGCAACAGGTAAACATAAATGCTGTGCAATGTGGACACAGGATTCAGGGCGACTGCACACAATACTCTGGTAGTGGCACTGGACAGGTCCTCAGCTGGCCCAGCGGTGTGGGAGAAGTTCCTCCACGTTAAGCTGTAAGCGAGAGAAGGGAGTGCAGGGAGCAGGTGCCAGGATTTTCAAAGGAACCAATCAAGCAAAGGTGTTGTCCCTCATTCTGTTACTGTAATTAAGTAACAGTCTGGATAAATTATAAAGAAATAGACTTTATTTGTTAGGTTGCAGTGTCAGCTCTGGTGAGGACGCTTGGCTGTAGCACATCACAGGCGATGTCATCACTGGTGATGTCATCACTGCAGGACAACATCTCTGCAGGAACACATGGGGATGGAGAGAAATCTCTGTGAGCCTGGAAGCGAGTAAGGGGGAGGGAGACATTTTTGCTTCTTTTATTGCATTGTATTTATTCTGCAGTGCTGGGGATTCCGTCTTGTATATGATCTACCACTGAACTACATCCACAGTCCATTTGCATTTGATGTAATAGTAGACTCTGTGGCTGGTGATACCCAGGGTCTCATAAGAACTACCATAAACTCTCCTGAGGGGGGAGCATCAAATTCAAGTCCTCCCACTACACCCACCTCTCCAAGGTTCTTCCCCGCTCCCCCTTCTCATATAACTACCCTAGGGACCAGGACCAGGACCTCACATCACTGGATCACAAAAAAAGGAAGGCTAAGACTGACAGCTGAAAGACCTAATCACAGATAGATTTGTGGACACCCGGCAGTAGAGCTAAGTACTCTCCAGAGACCAGACCAATCAGGGCTGGCCATTGAGGAAAGCACCTAAAACTCTTTCCATTTTGAACCAAAGAGAAGTAAGTAGTTCTTTAGGCTGAGGGCACAATGTCTTATACCCAGTAGTTGCTCAATCAAAGGTGATCTTAGCCCTTACCAGCCAGGGAGCTGTTACTACCTGGGTGATGTTGGCAATGATAGCTTTTCCATTCCTAGACCCACTGCCTGGCATCCTGGGTGATGTTCCAAGCCACATTCTCTGCCACCAGCTCAGGATGGACAGGAAGCTGATGCTTCTATTACGTGCATGCATGTGTGGATGCCAGTACAGGGCCTGGCACTGTCTTGTAGCTATTTTGCTCAAGGCTAGCACTCTACCACTTAAACCACAGCTCCACTCCCACTTTAAAAAACAAAACTGGTTAATTGGAAATAAGAGTCTCACAGACTTTCCTGCTGGGGCTGGCTTTGAACTTGGATCCTCATACCTCAGGCTCCTGAGGAGCTAGGATTAACAGGTGTGACCAACCAGAACCCAGTGCTCAGTGCTTTTTCATGTGAAGAAAATGATCTTCAGCCACAGCAATTATGGGAAAGCGGATAGAAAGGCAGAGACGAGGAGATGGCTAGCAGATGGTGCAAAATTAGACGATGCCAAGCTGCCTTCACCCCAACTCTCCTCCCTGGGATGTGAAATGTTCACATAAGGGATGAATCAAGGCAGGAATAGAGTAATTGAGACTCCAACCTTGCTCTCTAAGTGTCAGTGGGCCTCTACCCCTGGGCTGACCCCTGAGGAGGAGGGAGAGAAGGGCTTCTCCAGCTCTAAGTGATCTCTACTGACCCCCCAAGTTCCTTACCCCAAATTGATTTTCTCCTTTCTGGAGCTGTGATTTTTTTTCCTATCCAGTGGCTGTTTCCCTCCTCTAGAGAGATGTATGGGCTGAGGGCACATCATTCTTCAGGGCCTGCTGCACCCACACAGCTCGGTGGGGCCTTTTACTGCCATCCTTACCTCTGCATTCATTGGGTAGTAGCTGGGCTTGCAAGATTCAGTTCAGGGACTGGGCACTGACCAATGGTAGTTGTTTGAAAGCAAAGCGAACCCCCGCGGCTTTGTTCCTCTGAGGATCCCCCATACTGCCAGCCACTTTCTCTAGGGCTTTAGGTGTCCAGAAAGGAACACAGCACTGGCCTTTCTGGCCCCAAGTCATTCCTCAGCCTTGAGTAAATTCTGTCATTCCAGGGCCATCCAACCAATAAAGAACTCCCAGTGGGCCCCAAACAAGATAAGATCCAGGAATTCTCAAGTAACAAGAAAGAAGGGGGGAGGAGGGAAGAGGAGAGCCCCAGGCTGCCCTGCTCCTTCTCAGTGAACCCCCAGTGAATTACTTGGGGACACAGTGGCCAGTACCCTGTGACCCCCCTCTATAGAGACACAGTGACCACTACCCTTGGGATGCCCCCCCCCAAGTCCCAGGGGATGGGAGGTGGGGTCTAATCTACACCAAGGGAGGAGACCTTCTCAAGGTCCCCATTTTGGAGGATCTGTCTTCACACCACTTCGCCCTGCGCCCCCAATCCAGCCCCTGCCCCTCTCCTGGGCTGACAGGGGTTGGGGATGGGCAGGGCCTGGGTCGGCTGGCCGGGGTGGGATGCGGGGGTGAGGGGGTGCAGAGCCCCAGGAGTGGAGGTCCATCCCCGCGGGGAGGGAGGGGCCGGGCTGGCGGGACAGGTGCGGGGGCCCCGTGCGGGCGCACGCCCGGCTTGCGTCACCGCCCGCCGCACGGAGACATCACAATCCGGGGGCGCCGGGACCCCGCACCTCATAACCGCGCGCTAGCAACTAAACAATCCGAGCCCCCCACACCCACCCCCCTCGGGGGATTAAAAACAAAAAAAAGACCGCGGCGGGAGGCC